TTTTCCGAGCTATTTTTTTTTCTTTTTATAAAAATATTTTTCACCGAAATCCAACCAATCCGGAATCCAATTATTTAACCGTGTCCAAAGGGGTTCCCCAGGGATCCATACTCGGTCCATTATTATTTGTATTATACGTTGATGATCTCCCTAAAGTACTGAAGCACTGCAACATTCATGTTTATGCTGATGATGTGCAACTATATGTGAGCTGTCCTGTAGTGTCAATAAATTTGTGTATTCATGANTTTAAAACATTTAGGGTATCTATTCAGTTTTATAGCCCATAAAATTTTAGTCTAATGGAGCTCAAATTTCAACCGGCTAAAAAATTGCGCTGATTTTTAATGTTTTTTTTTGCAAAAATCCGTCACCAAAAAAAAAAATCCCAAAAATCAAAATCATTAGACTAAAATTGTATGAGCTATAAAAGTGCATGCCCAAAAATATTCTAAAGATTCAGATTAAATAGTAGAAATTTTGATGAAATTTTTTTTGGAAGTTTTCTAAATTTTGTATAGAGTTTGAAACTATGATTTATATGGTTTTGTTTAAAGCGGTGCTTTATAAAAAAATAACCAAAAAAAATTTAGCACGAAAAACACTACGAATATTAAAAAAAGAATTAACACGTGGTAATTGTTTGAGTCACTGTATGTAATTAACTACGTGCGAAAAAGGAGAAAAAATTGAGTAAGCGATGCAAACAAAATATCTAAACAAACATTTGAGGCCTTTATAAAATGTATCTATGTATGTATGTAGTTATGTACTTGTTGCTGTTCAACAACATGATTAAATATCATATTTCAGTGGAATGCAAAGTGTTGAAAAACAATAAACAAATGAAATATTTGCTAAGAAATTTCAACGAATTCTTTTTTTTTTTTGCTTGCTCTGTGAGTTGTAAAATATTATTAATTATCAAGTTGTATATGTAACAGCTGAAGTTGAATATTTTTAGGCAATTATTTTAATAAATTGTATCCATAAATATTGAAGCAGAAAATAAGCATCTCGTTTCGCTGCCAATCCGCCGTATTTTCAGTTCATTAAGATTTTTTTTTATAAATACTTTTTTATAGAAAAATATTTTTTTATCTAGTCAATTCAATCATTTTCCAATCGTGTCTACAAAACTATAGTAATCTATGCTAAAGTCTAACCTACTAAATAAGTGACTATGTACTTCTGGAGCAATCGTGGTTTACTGCATGGCTCTTGACTGACTCATTAAGCGTTTCTATAAGGAAGTCAACAGCGCTTCTTTAAACAAATATGTAAACAATTTAAGAAGCGAGAACTTTGAGTCACCTGCATATGTAGATATAATAGCCACCATCTCGGCAAAGAAAGAAATTATGAAAAACAACTGGTTTAAGGTAAGTTAAAGTAAGACTGCTTTAATTTTAGAAATTTCGGGAACAAAAAATTTTAACAAAAAGGCTTAGAAAAATTACCAAGAAATTACCAGACCGCAGGGATAAAAACCGGTAAGTAAAATATTTTGATTGATTTTATTTTGATAAATTAGCTGTATTTTCCAATCTCTTAAATGGTTACTCAACTTTAGTGACTCGGCACGTGAAGTCTTCAGAAAAAAAGTACCTCCACAAGTATAGATTTTGATCTATATATTTAGGCTAAGTAAACATATTTCAGACAAAATTTCTTTGTAACGTTTTAATCAGTAAAATTTGTTAAGCTAAAAGCTTTTATTGTTACTGGGGAACGAATATGAAATCCATTCAAATTTGAAGAAAAAACTCTATCGGACAATAAAGTTCAATTTGATATCATGATTGCTTTATTTAGAACAGAGTATGTATGTATGCATTTCTTATTGCCAGCTGATAAATGAAAACGATATTTTGTTAGAAGTGAGTACTGATATTTCGTCAAGTTCTGGAAAAATTTATCAACTTGAATCATAATGAGTAGTACATAGTTATATCTATGTTCATCAGATTAAAAATATAATTTTAAATTTCTGAAAGTACCCCTTTTATTGAATAAAGTCTTGCGCGCTTGAAGTTTTTGAGACAAAAATACACCGACATGCTTGCTATCGAAGTGCATATAGCACAAATGCGCAATCAGCCAAGACTCACTTTCCACATATTTCTGAATTTTTTTGCGCAATTTTCTACCATCAATTCCATTTGCTATAGTGGGAAATTTCTTGCAGAACAACAAATTTCTGGCACTTCTTGTGAAAAATATTAAATTACCAATTTTGTAGGGAAAAAATGTGAAAAAATTACAAATAGCAAAAATTTGTTGTAGAAACATTTTTGGGTCTTCATAATTTTTTATAAAAATTGTGCCCACAATTCATAAGAAATATGCGCTTGAAATTTTGTAGTTCCGATCGTCATAAAGAAACTAACGGTACTCCTAAATGAGTCTTTTGAATTGCTTTGGAAAGCAAATATTTCTTGGCCAAGATGATAGCAGTTTTTTTTGTGTGTTGATTTTGAGAGAAATTCATTTAGAAATTTATGCATCGATTTTTTGCTCCAAATTTAATCGATTCGTTGAATCTCTAGTTAGCAGAGGTTCTAAAAAAATAGACGAGCTTGTTTTGTTTGGAAGAAAATGCATAGCAACTTCAACAAAAAAAATTTTGTAACTCAAACTGCAAACTCAAAAAAATACAAAAATTTTTTGAAAATTTGTAATTTTTATGAAATTTTGTTGAATTGTTATACATTTTTGTAGGTACTATGCGTATGTGCCGCACAAGAATGAAAGTGACAATTTAGTAAACTGTGTGTACATATTTGCAATGAGAGCGCCAGATTGGCAACCCTTGTTTCGACGGTATCAACGAACGTTGGCCAACTCTCAACTTTTAATGCAAGTCATAAATAGAGAAATGCTCTCCTAGTTTGTGCAACAACAATTGCAGTTGCATGCAGTTTGGCAAACAAAAAATTTTCTACATAACACCACCGACCTTTGCTGAAATACAGCTACTGCAAATTTTGAGTAAAATTAAGAGAATTCCCATTTTTACCAGAAAGAATGGAGAGAATTTTGGCGAACAATCTAGAAATTCTCGGTAAACAAAATAAGATACTTACAAAGTTTGTAAACAGCAGTTAAATGGTGCGGGTAGAAATACGTGTGTTTATAAATTTGAGTATACTTATAAGATATGTATGGATGTACATATAAACACATGTAAGTTTGAAGTTGTGAAAAAACTTTTTAACAGCCAAAAGTCGCTTGGAATTCCGTACTATAAGTAATAGAACTTATTTTAATTTCCTCACACAAACACAATGATTCGAAACTGTTTTTCGATAAAAAGCAGAAATTTGTACATATTTGTTTTTCATCTTAATAAACAAAAGCTACGGCAAGTTGTCGATTAATCAACATAAAATCGAGAAAAAAAAAACAAACCAAAAATATTAATTAATAAATAAACTTGTCTCCATTGGAACAACAAATATACATACAGAAGTTATTGCTATTATTGTACACAAAATCAACAAATTGAATTGAAGTCGAAGATAAAAGCAGAAAACTACACACTTGTACAAATACCTACATATGTATCGTTCAATTTTTGAGCGGTTCAGTGAAGAGCAAAGCTCTAATGGGTGGGGTAGATGAAGAAAACGGGGGCTGAAAGTAACATAAGTGATGACCAAGGCCTGATGAGCCACAGTGACAGCTTAAAGCTAACAATGAGCTGTCAGTTTGCTGTCTTTTGTTGACATACGCTATTAATTTTTAACCGACTTCCAAAAAAGGAGGAGGTTATCAGTTCGTCGGAATATTATTTTTTTTTTTTATGTATGTTACCACATAACTTTGGACCACGTCAACTGATTTCGATAATTCTTTTTGCATCGGAAAGGTAGTGCCTCAGAGGTGGTCCCATACTAATCTGGTTGAGATCCGATCAGTAGATCTTGAGATATATATATATATATATATTTTTTTATATGGGAGTTGAAGTCGGTTTTTTTTCTAAAAATTACTTGTTTTTTTAGTTTTTCGCGCGGCAATCAAAAAGCAAAATTTTTATCTTTAGGCCGCCTATGTATACCATAAGATACCTACTACTATATTTATATTAGACTGCATCACCGAAAAAGGTTGCGGTTTTTCGGCCGGGATTACAAAACGTATTATTAAGGGATTCAGAAGACGTGTTGACCGGCGTAATATCTTAAGCTTAAGCTTTTTTTATGTAAAATAAGGGTTAAAATGTTTTTATGGGGAGCTAATTATAAATTTTTTATCAGTTTAAAAAAATTTCGGTATACATTTGAAAACTTCCACCAAAATGATTCGGAAAAATATTATGATTTTCATACGTAAGTTGGACCCATTTTAAAATACCTCCAAACATGGATTTTTTAATGAATAAAAATAGTTTCTTAAAGTATTTCTAAAAAAAAAATCCTCACAGATGACCAAACAGTTTAAGCTTAAAAAATATCTATACAAATATTTAAAAAAAAAAATTTTTGTCTGAGTTATTCAAGTTTTTCTTAAACCAACATTTGAAAAAAGGTCAAAAATAGCATCGAAAATCTCATTATTGTGTTTACATTGAAAATTTTTAAAAATTTTTGTATGCAAATTTTTTAAGCTTAAACTATTTTGTCATCTGAGTTGATTTTTTTCAAAAAATTCTTAAACAAAAATAGTTTATTCATAAAAACTCCATTTTTGGATGTACCTTTTTTCAAATCGGTCCAGTTCACGTAAATCCTAATATTTATCCAAAATATTTTGGTGCAAGTCTTAAAATATAATAGATTTTATAATTCCAGTGGACAACATTTTTTTTTTGTATAAGGGGGTGATGCAGTCTAATGTACCAGCATGTACATATCTACATACATATAGAGAAAACATGTTGTATAGATCGCAAAATGAATAAACTGCCCGTGTAGTAGAGAGAGGAAGAGTGTTGACAACGAAAAAAATAATACTAATAATAAAATATATGTAAAAATATCACTTAAAACACTTACGTAAAATTGTTTCTACAGCCGGCAAGTTGCAAGATATCTTACTGCTGCTAGTTATAAAAGTATTTGAGTTTACTATATTCACTTATATTGCTTTACCTTTTCACACGCCAAATAGCACAATTTAATAATCACCAGAATACCAGATTGTAGTACCCACACAATTTTTTTTTTTTTTTTTTAACGTTGGTTTATGGTTTTTTCACCTCCTCGCTTATTTTCAGTCAATCTTTTCTCCATTCCTCATATGTTAATTTCTTCCAAACCTGTCCACAGCAGGCGATTAACAACCGGTTTTAGGCCGCATTTATAATTTTAGACACTGCTTCCTATTTTTTACTCATTTGCTGTTTTTTTGTTTGGCTGCTGTTCAGGTAATAAAACCAAAACAAAAAAAAAAATCCACAACAACTGCTAACCGGTTTATCTAGCTGCACATTTCTTTTACTTTTGTTATTTATTTACACCAAAGCCTGTTGGTCGATTTAAAATCCCAAGAAAATTTGCCTCCAAATACAAAGCACGTGACTTTGATTTTTAATTGCACACTTTAGTTTATAAAACTTGTGAATTATATACATATGTATGTACATAGATAATCGCACAAAATGGTTCCTTTCTTCAAAAATTTGAATCTCTTCACTCTGCTCAAAGCAAAAAATCCTCTGGCGTTCTAGCCAGACACACCCACTTAGTGCAGCGCGCTGTTCACAGCGGTTTTAATTGCACGAGACAAGGCAATTTTATCACTTCAGTTTGAAAATCTAAAACGCTTTAGTGTTTCCGTTCTTAATACTTTTTAAATTATCAATAAATTTATACTGGATTTGTTTTCTTTTTCTGCACGTTTTCAAGCGAAAAAATTGCCTTCCACAAACATTACTCAGGTAAATGTTTAAAGAGTCGCACCACAATCTAGCTTGCTGGTTGAAAGTGAACTGAATTGATATAATACGCGCCACTTTATCTACAGATTCCTCAACTACTGTGCAAAGCGTCCAGGGATGCCAAATCTGTCGAGGAAAACTCCCCCAAAATCCCCCATTTTTAGTGGTTTTCCCCTTAATATGTTTTCTTTAATTAAAAAGCGTTGCTGAAACCCTATTTGAAGGTGCTGATGCGCTCAACTCTGCATTCAACGACGGTTTGCTTTGATGAAATTTACACGGTCATACTATTTACTTTGAATACTGATCTTATTACAATATTAACTAATCGTTCATTTCCACCAAGCCTTAACTGCAGTTTATGCCTATTGGAAAAAGCAAATTACAACTCGAAGGAGCTGGTTGCTCATATTAAGTACAAGCAAACGAAAGGAAAATAGCAGAAATTAAAAATTAAACCTTTTGTTAAAATAAGTGTAACTTATCAGAGCTTCTAACTGCAGTTAAGCGTTTGGTGTAAATGGGCTATTAGACGAAATTTCGACCAAAAAAAATTCGAAATCAAAATTGGATTAAAAAATAATAAGCTAAATTTTTGGCTCATTTGGGCCGAGTTCAAACAACTTAGCCAACTTAGCCACCACCACATATTGACTAGTACTTATAATTTAGTATCTGTGATTTATAATAAAATATCAAATATTTTCCGCCAAAGACATCAGGTCTTTCCCCATTCGCCCTCAAAGTGGGAATTCCGCCATAATGGGGGAATTCACCCGCAGTAGGCATCCCTGAAGGCAACCAACAACATGAACGCACACTAACGCAAAATGCTGAAAATAACGCATACATATTCACATTCAAGCATAGGTACTTATCGATGGCAACTGAATAACAGAGAGCGTGTGATATTGAGGGAACAGTGATAAATATGCGTACATAATATGTAGCTGCATTGCATTATCAGAGCTCTGTTATGTACATACAGTGTAGCATATATGTATGTATACGCATTTTTGGCTAATAATTTTTGATTTAAAAAATTATGATCAATAATATATATAGCTGTACTCGATTTTTTATTTTTTTTTCAAAAATTTGATGGTTTTTAAACTTTGGTGAAAATTTGCTGAAAATTCTTTAGTGTTTTCCAAAGTTTGAAGTTTTGATTTACATGATTGTTGTTGTAGAATGTGCTAAACGTTAAAAAAAAAGCCGATCCGACCCGCGAAGGCAGGAAGTGCCAAATGGAGTATGCCAGCAACAGACCGCTGTTTGTGTCACAAGTAGTGACCAATCAGCAATCCCACAAGTCGGCTGCAGTCCCATCCGCACTACGCACTATTTTTTAAAGTAACCGAACTAATCTTGAATTCATTTAAAAGTTCGTTTAATGACGAGAACAGCGAATGTCTACTTTCAAAAATCGACTGAAAGCTGACTGAGGTATTCAACTTTTCATGTGATAAACTGAACATCGATTCATCGCCAACTAACGCTTGCGAGCTATTGTATGAAATCAGTTTTCGTATTATCGTTTTCATATGCCCGACAGTTGTATTATTGTGAATGGCTGTGGTTTTTATTTACTTTTTATTGTGGACCAACACGACAGTCGGGTCTACGTAACCGAAAGGACCCAGATTTATATCTGGCCAAGGACGGTCACTCCAGCAATACTCCCCAGAGACTCTTTGGGGAATTTGTATGCTGTTACAATAACAACAACAGCTACGCTAACTATCGGATTGTTTTCCACAAACATCAAATTGTAAACCGGTGTTTGACAAATTTCATATTTCGATTCGACCTACAAGGGAAGTGATGTTATCCCAGGTATTTTGGAGTGACGCACAGTACAATAGTTCCATGATTTTAAATATTTTTGTCACCAGAACACTTTAATTTGATTCATTATAAAAATATGCACAACAAATTTCGCTTAACGGAGAAAAATGGGTTTGGCTAACGAAATTAATATATGTGACCTGGTCTACGAAAAGGGAGCTTACGCGCGAAAAAAGTTTTCTGTGAAAAAGCTGTTAAAAGTGAAAATCATCTCATCTTCCATCCGAATCAACCAAAAAGTGAAAATTGATTTTTTTGACACCTAAACCCCCGTTTCCGTAGACCAGGTCACATATGTAATTTCGATAAGGAAATTTATTATTATTTTGACTACGATAAAGCAATTGGATATGACAAGAAAAGTCTTGCTATAGCAAATAGCAGGGCCACCACCACTCAACGGCTAATACTGGGTACCAAATCTTTTCTTCTGAGTTGAAAAGCAATTGTGAGCACAACGTAATTATTTTTTCGATTGTATTAAAGATCTTTGATGACCTAACCACTGCAGCATTTATGCATTAGAATTAACAGGTGGCAAATCTGTGGTTCTACACCAAGCCTCTACAAAGCGAACTTTTGCGATCTACTTTAACAGCCATGCTGCTAAGATTAGCATTACAATGCTATGAAGTGTTCATTGGTCCCTAGTCACAGGACAGTTACATGGCCAACGAGCTATACGAAAAAAAACTGTTGAGAAATTTGCTAAGAGAATGGGTACACCTAAGATTCTTAAACCCTGGTTAGGTACTTCTTTTCGAGGCTGCAATCAGCAGAGTTGCCGCGGAACAACATGGCCTCAAGAAATGATTCATATATCTCCACCGCTTCCGTTGAACGGGACACTGGCTTACATACATATGTGGACACAATGTCAAAAGGACGGGATACCAAACCAATCATTTCTAACTCAACTGCAAACACGGGGAAAAGGTGGAGCACGTTGATCAATGTTTATGTCAATGTCATGGCCTGACCAGGAGGCCCTCGTTTTTTGGATTCAGGAAAAATTTTGCCTAAATTATACCACTGTTCATTATGTTTAACGTTATATGTAAAGAAAACCTGTTATTTTACAGCAGACTGTAATATTAAGCAGGCGAAAGTCGTAGAACAGCGTAGAGAAAATGCTCTGAAACCGGTGTACATAGATATGCATATGTATATCTAACAGTAGGGGGCTGAGTAATACATAGTGGGTACTCACACATTTATAATTAGACTTGAAGAGTCTCAGGCGTAGAGAGTATGGTTCACAGTAGGGGAGCAAAATACTGTTATTTATATACAACAGCTGCTTTCAGTGTTCGTACGAGTGTATGTATTGTATACATATAGGTATGCATATAACTACATATGTGCATATCAGAGGTGGTTTCTCCGCTATGGATAGACTATAAAACAACAAATATTTGCTTGCTTATTTTTTACCGGCACTAATACTAATAAAGTTTGCAAAACCGTGATGCATGTACGTACATGTGTATGCGCGCCATCATGTTTGTTTATTTTGTTTTTACTTCTTGCTGAATTTTTTCTTACATTTAAATAAATCTTACCCTACTATTAAATTACGCAGTTGAAAAACGCCGGCATGGAAGAATTTGGAGGTATGTACTTAGGTGTATGCTTGTATTTACATATATAAATACATATGTATTTGTGTCTTAAGTAAGCCTATAAAACCAAGAACACTGCCCAGTCGTACATATGTATGTATGTATGTATGTTCCAAATGTACATACTAAGGTAAAAATGGAGTAGCGTTAATTTCTTTATCGACAACACTAAAACTAATTGCACCCTTGGGAGCTAAACGTAATTAGGTAATGCGATTTATTGTAGAGGGTATACCAGAATGCAAGCAATATGTGGAATTAACCTCTAAAATGGAGTGTCTGGCAAACAAATTAAGTTACAAATGTCTCTAAGTTTTTTTTTTAACTAAGGTGACCCAGCCCAAAATAGTTTTCTACGACACTTTCTGCTGAGCACATCACCTTGTTAATCACTTATCCAACTATCAACTATGTATGTATGTACATTAGGGTGGCCCTTAAATATAGGAAGCAAACTTTTACATCAGATTTCCTAAACCTCAACCCCTACGCCGATGCTACTATAGTCGAAGATATCACATAAAAGTTTTGTCTCGATTGAAATCGGTTAAGGCGTGTCGCACAGAAGGCAATGTTCAAAAATTTTTATGTGATATCCTCGACCTTAGTAGTATCGTTTTTTGGCTATTAAAAAAAAAATGTTTTTAATTTTTTGAGTCCATAGAAACATTTGGCCTTTGACCCATTTGCGACACACCTTAACCGACTCCAATCAACGGTCAAAATTTATATGTGGTATCTGTAACCATGGTATTACCGATTGAGGTGGTGGTCGCACACCGTACATACATACATATGTGCGTTAGGATGGTCCAAAAATGCATGTTTTAAAGGAACTTCGGACGTTTTATGCTCTCACCCCTAGGACTTTTATATAACGAAATACACCTCTGTTTTTTATACCTTTAATATACCCTTTTTTAACTCAAAAAATATTTAGAGGTCGCTCAAAGCGCTCAAAGTTTTCCATGTATTTTAAATAAAAAAAAAAACACTTCGTAGAAATGGTATAGAATTTTTGAAAATCCATATTTTTCGATCGGAAAACTGTTTCTCTTCATAAACAATTGGGTATTTTTATTGGAAGTCTTCTGAAGAGAACCAGAGTTCTCCGATCGAAAAATGTTGATTTAAAAAAATCCTATACCATTTCTACGAAAAGTGGTTTTTCCAAATATAAAATACATCGAAAAGATTGAGTGCTTTGAGTG